GGAAAATGGTTCTAGTATAGGCTAATCTAGAATTCCTGAGCAAATTGCCTTTGCCTACTAGTTAAATTGGCATATCACTGGCGCTGAAAAGCAAAAGCGGATGGTTAGCTCAAAAACTCTTAGATATTTAATTGTTGCATTTTTTTTCATTGTTGATGCAATTTTCCACTAGATTCCTACCTGTTCGACAATCCTTGCCAACTTATTAGGTTGGGCCGTGCTGCAATGGTCCTTTAACGCATTGACAATTTTACTTTGGACATGATCAGCAGCTGCTTTGCTGTGCAGATCCAACAGATTACTATCTAAAATGGCATACTTTATCGACGTGTTTTAAAAGGAGGGATGTTGAGTAGAGCCATAACTTCAAAAATAAAAAGCTTGTTTAACTCTTAGAACTAGATAGGAGCTAACTTTTTGAAACAGAACTATTCAAACTCCATATTTAGATCTAGGAAAACTCAAGACCAGAAATCTAAAAATTTCACAATAGCGATGCCTCAAATCTAATCCAATGCAAATCAGTTAATTACCTGTGTTTCCTGAGAAGAACTGCATTGCCTGAAGCGCACAGTATGACTGCGGTTCCCAATCGACTACCGTTTTGAAAGCTGGCGCTTTCTCAACCACTCGTCGGAAGAAGGCAACGAATGGCGGCGGTAATCCGGTCAACGGGACCCGTGAACCGCATTCAAACACCAACTCAGTTTCCGCCATTCTAGGAACAACCGAAATTTGAATGCTTGCTAAATCGTTTCAGAATGTCAATTTCTTACCGATAGCAATGTCTGACAGCCATGATTGCGAAGACGGTACGAGAAAGAAGTTTTGGAATGTCGTTTTCAGAGATCTCATCGATATGTGGCATACTGGACACAAACATTTGGATAGCTTGGTATTCTTTCTCCAAAAGGTTCACCACATGTTCTGATGTCATATTTGTCTGAAATAAAGTTTCATAGCCATTGTCTATTCAGACTTTCTCAGTCTTTAAAATTTCTACTGAGAAAGTTGTTAGGCATCATAAAAAGGTACTGTCTCACTCTTATTAATACATAAAATCTCTCACATAACGCAGATACGCAAAGCGAATATGGAGCAGAAGATTTCTGAGTAAATGCAAAAGGAATGCGTTCGGGGGGAATCGAACCCCCGTCGAATGCTTGGAAGGCATCCATGCTAACCATTACACCACGAA